TTTTAAATCAAACGAAAATAATTAGATACAGTCATACAGTATTATTAAAGGTTTCAGTTCAGTTAAGATCCAAATTTATTTCAAGTATTGCTTCCATCTAGTAAAAGTACATAATTGCTACAGCTCATAGAATTTAACTAATAGGAGTTCATTATAAAGATAAATGTACATGTTGAGGTGAAATGCATTATTGTGACTAGCACTCTTGACCTGCTGGCTTCTACTTATCTATCCTCCCTGATAAATGGTAGAAGAGGAGAATAAGCAATTGTAGGGATTAATTCCATCTCTTGGCTCTGTCCTATCAGAAAATCTTCCAGAAATCCTTTTGAAAAAAAAAAAAAACCAATGGTAAATTGGGAGTATGAGAACATGTTCTGCCTATTAAAGGAGATAAAGAGATATAGCTTCACAGTTTGTCTTCAAATATAAACATAGTCTTCAGTTAAAAACCACTCAGTGGTGTTGCACAAATGGTACTTACAGTATGATCACGTCCTGGCCATCCCAACATTCCTGCAGTAACATGCACTTGCATGGAAAACTCCATTTGCACAAGTGGAAGGCATGTGCACTTTCTGCTCGTGCAAATGGAGCTGTGCAAGTACGCCTGCCACACAGACACAAACACGCTGGGCCACCAAGCATGGGGCCCGCTGCTCTAAATACTTTTTACAACTTTTTCATAAGTGAACAAAGCAACTAAGAAAACCAGTGTTAAGATCTACAAAATATCCAAGATGAAGAATAATCTTATTATTTTACTGCCTTTTTTGTTTTTGTGGTTACTGATATGTCAGCAGTTGTGTGTCCATCTAGGATAGTGATTTCACTGCAAATGCTTGCAGGAGAAAAATGAAGGATAAAACATTTATCATGCAGTTTGCAGTGTGGGAATATTCCTGTTTTGTTCAGTCTGTTCTTGAAACCTAGAATTTGATAAATGCACTGCACAAATGCATTAATACAGATTTAGTAAATAGGGTATACAGATTTAGTAAATAGGGTGTGGACAAAATGATTTGATTAGATTTGTTTTATTCTATAAATATACTGCCTTTTCTTATAAGCACATGATAAATTAAATTACTACTGCTATACTAACATTTTTAAACTTAATTAAATTTGAAGTTAATTTGATTACTCTCCAGCTGTTTGTATGCTATAGTTATTTTCCCCAATTTTTGTATTAAAAATATAATGTAATAATAGGTCATAAAGATTTCTGATATTGCAAATGGCCCTGAGGCCACTTTTTAATGGCTTTCTTACCCATGCAGCACAGCAATTAAAAAAAACAGATTTATCAAGAGTTTTGGAAGTGTGGGAATATTTTTTCTTTTATGAGGTCTCGTGATGAAACTTCCCTGAAGCATGCAACTAGACATATGCAATAATAGTGATTGTCTTGTACACTTGAATTGACACACCTTAATTTGCCACATCACTGCGGTAAGGGATATATCATCCACCTTCTTGGGCATTGGAGAATTTTCTCACTTGATTTTATAATCAAGCTCTCAACCTTTTGAATGTTTCAACTATATTAGAACTGTATTCTGTATTATATTGGAAAACTACTTTTTGATACACAAGAAAAGATCAGGAAAACTTTTTTTTTATTATTTATTATGCATTCAGATCTCTAACCAATCTTGGTTAGAAACTTTTATTATAAAACTATTCTTAAGAATTGCTCTTATTATAAAGATTATCCCCAGATCCATCACTTGTTATGGAGTAGCATGGTGTATTCTGTACTACCTGAACTGCAACATTTGAAAGGTATTACAGGACAATGGAATTGGTAAATTATCTCCTGACTGATTTTTGTCAGCATGGATAAGGAACAAAAGAAGAACAGTAGCGTAAACCTGTCCAAACCTCTACATTGGTATTGTATTCCTTTTGCAATATTTTTCATCTCCAACTGAAATAGTAATATTGAGTGACTTGTTAATGGAAGCTAGAAATCTTTTTATGCATATTTATTAATGTCAACAAATCCTCAGATTGCTATTACTAAAGGAAAATAATTTATTACTTAAACTTTTGTCTCTCTGTGCCCTCTATTAAATTAAATTATTTTTTTTCTGAGTTTCTTCTTTAAATTACCTAGAATGCTTTATTCATGTTGTTTCTAAATAGAATAAATTTCTAAATTTCTTCAAGTGAAAAAGTAGGTTCCAGTTTGTTAGCAATTCCTAAGGAATGTCATTGTTCATGATCTCTGTTTCTTATCTTTCTTATCTTCATTTTTGAGTGGGATGCATTGGACTACCCTGTTTAAAACTGGATAATTTGAATACCTAGATAAAGCAACATTTGCTAAATGCTATTTTTGTCAACCATGAATTATGAAGAATGCATGAATCATCAAAGATATGAAACCAAGTTCAGAATTCCTGGTTGCAATTCCCCAATGTTGCTTCTTTAAGGCAAGAGTAAAGCTAAGGTCGAAATCTGGTCTTTCCTTGAGTGAAATGCTGGGGCCACATTCAAAAATATAACATATAAAACAACTAAGAAGATAATTTAATGGCTTGTTTACAAGTACAGCAAAGTCATAAGATTTGTCAAGAGATTGAAAGTATGGGAATATTTCTTGTTTTATGAGAGCTGCTGATGAAACATCCTGAAACATGCAACTGAATATATACAGTATATTAATAATCCATGGAAACCATAGTGATTCTCTGCATACCTATTGCTTGACATACATTAATTTATCATGTTGCTGCATGTAACACATGACAAAGTTAATCCATGTTCTGGCATTGGGAAAGTCATTTGGTCCTATAAATAAACTTTCAAACTTTTGAATGTTTCACAAACCTCTTAAAATAGCAAAGACTTCTTTTCAAAGCATGTGAAAAGATCAGGAAAATTCAATTCCCATCCTATTGAATTTTTTTGCATGCATGTCTCAAGTCAGGTGCTGCTCTATCAAGTGTGCTCTAGCTAATTCAGAGCTCTTTTGAGTGCAGTATTTGTTTTGTGATGAATGATAGACATGTGCAATACTTTTCCTCCAAAGCAGGTGTAAGGTTTTCCATTTAGCCTCACAATTGCCCCAGCATTACTCAGGAATTTAAAAGAGCCAAAGAAACTCCTGAGCCGAGGTTTCAGCAAGCAAACAACTTTTATTTTGATCAAAATAGAGTTGGGTGACCCCATCTCTCTTCGTGGTTGGTAGAGAGATGAAGGCAACAACCAGGAAAGATGTCTTCCACTTTTTATACCTTTCCAGAACAAAGAGATCTGATCTTGGTACTAGGCATAAGATGGCAGAAAAAAATAATTCCTAGATGATGACTCGTACACAGCAACCCAGGCTCCATCCATAACTCCTTTCCCCCTCCCCTTACCTTGCTCTTTTCATATAAGCAATCACCTATACCTAAAGCATAAAACATTTGCTTCTATATAACTAATTTCCCAATCTAAAGCATCTACAAAGTTGCTTGCACATAAACAAAGATGTATGTATGTATCTATGTATAATAATTACAAAATATCACTAGTAATATCAATATTAACTAATATCAACCTTAAGGCTAATAAAATCCCTTCACAGGAAAAGTTGTTCAAGAAAGTACTTGAGTTCAGGAAACATTGCAGAGGTGGCAACAAGGTGCAGCACATGTATTCCTGAGCCTGAAGGCATCTATGCAAGCAAGAATCTATGCCAGTGATGGTGAATCTTTTAGACACCGAGTGCCCCAAAACCGCCCCATCCACCCCCACTCTGTCACGTCCTGCTCACCCTCGCACTGCCCCCTGTCTGCTCACAGGGCCACCTACCACCTCCCATAGCCTGCCGCAGCAGATTGGGCAGACGGCCCTGCAGTGCCATGGCAGTCACGCCTTTTGTCTGTGCCATGCATCATCTGCCCGATGGGGCATGAGGGCGGAGTCTTGTTGCTGCTGCCCAGCTGCCATGTCCTTGGCTGCACTGCTCCGTGTGTGCTGCACCCGGGGGCAACTCTCTTCTGGGGGGGCTGCTGGTGTGGAGGGGGCCATGGGGTTAGGGTTAGGTGGGGCTGGAGCGATGGCATGCATGAGCACAGAGAGGGCTCTCCGTGCTGCCTCTGGCATGTATGCTATAGGTTTGCCACCACTAATCTATGCAGTTCTACTATGGGGCTGACAACAATAGAGCAAGAAGCCATTGTTGGATCTGAAGTACTGTTACTGTTTTTGGATACAGATACTGAACATTACAAAGGTATAGATGTAAGAAATGTAATTTCCTAAATCTTCTGACATAGAAATCTAATACCCTTGAACTGAAGGGTTTATTATAAAACATCTTTGAAAAGAGTTGTCAGAGATTCTAACAATTGTGGTTATAATCATTTGCTGACTCAGAGAAACTTCTATCAAGGAAAAAAAAACACCTCTCTGGTGTCAGTATAGCTTGATTTAAAGAATAGCCTCTTTTTGTTGTGGTACCTGTTCTTGAGAACATCATCTCCTTTAGGAATTACATTTGTCCAAACTCTTCTGGCCATTTGCAAAACAGTAATCCTGGTTATGCTATTGATCCTGGGCCCTAATTTTAATTCTGGTTGTTTCTATTGTTTTTTCTTCTGTTTTAATTGTGATCCATCCAGAGTCATGTATATAAGATGGATGGCCTATTCATTTATTAAACAAATACATAAATATGGTCTCAGCTCCCTTTCAGAACTAGCCCTTATAACAATTTGGCTTACTTCTTAAATATTTCAATCTGGAAATATATGTAACTAGGAGAATATTTTTAAATGTTGCACTTTTCTTTGGTGTGGTCTTATTTGGAATTTTATTGAGTGCATAGTTAATCTCTTTATTCATATAATGATATAATAAAAATCTGAGATAAACATTTCCCTGTAGCTTCAGGAAGCAAATTTCATCAGATGTCTGTCAAATTAATCTGGGATTGCTTTCAAGTGACCACAAAAAAGTTGTGGATGCTTTTGTTGTTATAATTGTGATTCTTGTTTTGAACCTAGGAATGCGATTCCTTAACCACAGGAGCAGGAATCCCAGTGGGAGACAAGCTGAATGTCCTGACCGTTGGTCCAAGAGGTCCACTCCTGGTTCAGGATGTGGTTTTCACCGATGAGATGGCACACTTCGACCGAGAGAGGATTCCTGAAAGAGTTGTCCATGCCAAAGGAGCCGGTTAGTTTTGGAATTTGCATTGTGTCTTTCTTTTTAGCCTTATTAGTGGGGTAATATTACAGTGTCCCTTATAGAATGTAGGTATGTTTTTGTGATTGACAGTGCTGAAACTGTGTCTTGTATGTGTTTAATCATTCTATTTAGGAATTTATTTTTATTTTGTGATGCTTGTACAGTACAGTTGAGTTAATGATAGTCCTTATAGCAACATTGATTTCTGCTACTGATTTTCTTCATTAGGAGCTTGAATTATCTATAATCTATCCACTTGTGAGGCATTTGAAATTGTTACCTTTTGTCTTGTTTTTATTTACCTTTGCTGAATTTATTTAGCTAATTGATACAAATTGATAACACTTTTTTCTTCAAAAAAACTGAAGTGTTAAAATCGTGCTTAATTGCTTTATTGCATGGCTCTTACATTTGTAAACAGAAGTAACTAGGAAATATTAGAATCAGATTAACGTTCTTTTAAGGCAGTGGTTCTCAACCTTTCTAATGCCGTGACCCCATAATACAGTTCCCCATGTTGTGGTGACCCCCAAGTGGGTGTGGCCACCAATAAGAGGGAGTAGGACAGCTAGGGAAAAGGGAAAAAAATGGCGGACAGCGTGGTTTGGTGACCCCTGTGAAATGGTCATTCGACCCCAAATGGGGTCCCGACCCACAGGTTGAGAACCACTGTTTTAAGGTTTGAGAAAGAGTTCTTTTTTATAACTTTTTTCACTTCTTCTTTCACAGTGCATTTTTTTCTAAATATATTCTACTGAATCCTTGTTTAATTGTGTTATGTTTACCAAACACTTATTTACTTGTCAACTTTTAATTGACTCATAACATTTTTCTCAGATTTTTTTAAACAAAAATGCAACAATAAGAATTCTCCAGAGAAAAATTACTTTGCATTTATTACTCCAGAAACACTTTTACGAATCAGAACGTCTTATTGATGTTCACTATCAAGTTTTAATGTTTAATTTAGGTTTTTTTATTACATTTAATGCACCTTTTCTACATACAAATCTAATAAAGAATGAAAAGCTACATGCATAAATATTCAGAAATTGCTCAATTTGGAAAGTCCATTTGTGTGCAATGGCTCAGGATAAAATAATTGGTATGCTTGATATAAGTGTGAGAGGAGGAAAAGAAGGAAAAATCAATGAAAGTTGATTGATTGATTGATTGATTAAATTAATATGTTGTCCATTTGCTATTCAAAGTTGATTCCTTTTTGTCAGCAAAATCTTTAGTTGAATCAGAGACTCTTTCCATTAAAAGGAACTGCTATATTTATAGTAACCATCAGCATTTTCAAAAAAATTATCAGCAACTTATATCTACACATTTTATGCTAATAATGAAAACATTATCTTCTGCTTCATCTACCATAACTGATATTCCTTCCAAAACTATGAGTTTTGGAACAATCTTTTTTAAATTTTAATAAACTATAACCCTTTTAATTTTTCAGGAGCATTTGGCTATTTTGAAGTGACTCATGATATCACCAAATTCTGCAAAGCAAAGATATTTGAGCACATAGGCAAAAGAACGCCAATGGCTATTCGGTTTTCAACTGTTGGTAAGGATCTTGCAGATTTTCAGTGTATCTTATTTGCTTCATATATAAAGGTGTTTCATTGAATGTGTGTATGTGTTTGTTGCTATGCAGGTTCTGAGGAAAACAGGAAACCAGAAGTTGCCTTCAAACTCTACGTTTTTATTCAGCTGAACAAAGACGGGCTTCTCTAAAAGAGAGAAAAAGCCCCAAATATTAGAAAAGCCTTATTTTTATACTTCCTTTGATTACATAAGCAATTCACCCAGCAAAGCTGACACACATAAGATAAAGACTTTGCCCTTTAAGGCTGGCACACTGTAGATAAGAAGGAAGAAAACAGAAGTAGCTAAAAATGTTCCCTTTTGGGTGTTCCCCCAAGACACCATATGTTCCCGGGTGGGTTAGGATATTGGGTGTTTCCTTTGCTGTCCTTTTATGACCTTGCATTCATGATTCTGCAAGTGGCCAGAGCTAGCGGGGCCATCTGCACGTATCCACAATTGATACTGTCCCCTAAGTCCGGGTCAACAGTGTGTGTGTGTGTGTGTGTAAAACACATTTTAATCTATTTCAGTGGATGTTTATGTGCTGTTTTAAATTGATATTGGGTAATAAGTCATTTAATAAATCTTTAATATGAAATGTTGATTCCTTAGATTTTCCTAATTTTTTAGTAGAATCTTAGGGTTAATAGCTGTGTATTCTTGAGCAGGCTTTATGAATAGCAGAAACATAGGCATATTTATCTCTGAGTGCATTTGAAAAAGACTAATGACATATGGGTAGTCCTTGACTTATGAACACAATTGGTACCAGAATTTCCCTTACTAAACAAGGTAATTGTTCAATGAGCCATGACCAATGTGCAATGTTAAGCAAATCTGTTGTGATAAGTGAATCACGCAGTCGTTAAGTGAACTGAGATTTCCCCCATTGACTTTGGCCATCAGAAGCCATCTGGGAAGATCACAAATGGCAATCACATGACCCTGGGATGCTATAACCATCCTAAATACATGGTTATTGCCAAACACCCAAATTCTGATCACAGATAGTGCAACAGTCACATAAGTGTGAAACTGGTTGTAAGTCACTTTTTAAATCCTGTTGTAACTTTGAATGGCTGCTAAATGAATGGTTGTAAGTTAAAGACTAGTATAATTTATAATAATATTTGTCAGCTTGTTTTAAATGTTATGTTTATTTTGTGCTGTTTTGTCTTGTCTATGTTTTTAATTGTTTTAATTTGGCATTACATTTTGTAAGCTCTTTAGAGAGTCTCCTGAAGTGGCCATCCCTAATAAATTTACAGAAATATAAGTAAATGTGATTAATTTAACCAGTAGTTCATATATGTTTTTCCCACATGCACTCAGTGAATTTATTCTGTGCATTATTTAAATTTAAAAGATAATATTCCAGTAATTTGTCCATTTCTGTAAGTTATCTCATCCAAACCTCCAGCTATCCCCCTGAAATTTAAATTACTTCTGTGCAATTCTGTCTTTGTAGTTCTCTTTTAAACATCAATTATATGGATTATAATTGATTCCGCAGTATGTAAATATATAGAAAAAGTTGGTCAAGGTATTAACTATGTTCATAGGATTTAATCATGGGACTTATTTTATTTTTTTAAGCTGGAGAATCGGGCTCAGCTGACACAGTGCGTGACCCTCGAGGTTTTGCAATGAAATTCTACACTGAAGATGGAAATTGGGATCTTGTAGGGAACAACACTCCCATCTTCTTCATTAGAGATGCAATACTGGTAAATTGGAGCAGATGTGCTCTTAATCAGGTTTCTGTCAAAAGCCTTGCAGCATATTAAATGTGGCCTTTGTTTTGGAGTCTGCCATTATAGTTCCTTCTGGACACCTATAGCCCGTTTGATGGCATATTCTAAATGTCCACAGTTTTCTATTGCAGTGGGCATAAATCAGTCAATCAATAAATCTTATAAAGAGGGTTGTGTTGTAGTCATTGGTGAGACTAAACTAGAATTTCCAGATTGAGGTGGGAAAGAAATTTTTATTTTACAGTGAAACCTATAAACATTTGGGTGTTTTCTGTCTCAAAATGAGATGAAAAGTGTTTCACAGATTTTTAGCCATAATGGTGATAAAAAGTACCACATGTTGCAAGGGAAAGGGATGCAGAGTTCTAGTTTGTCTATCTTGAATATGCAAGTTTAAGGGAAAAATGTATGCTATCATAAGTAATCCTCGACTTATGACCACAATTGAGGTCAAAATTTATGTTGTTAAGTGAAACAGTTGTTGAGTATTGCCACATTTTGCAACCTTTCTTGACGTAGTTGTTAAGTGAATAACTATAGTTGTTAAGTTATTAACATGATTGTTAAGTGAATCTGGCTTCCCCATTGACTTGGCTTGTCAGAAAATTGCAAAAGTTGCAACCAACATACTGTAAACTATGAATCAGTTGCCAAGTATCTGAATTTTGATGTTCATTTTAAATGAACATCAAAATGTGCCAGTCTTCATCATTACAGTCTTAATGATTATACATAACAATTTGGGTGGGTTTTGTTCGTTTTATTTTCAGCCTGAAAATTTAGTTGTTGGCACAATAAATTCAAAGAGATTGTTTATGATTCATAAATGCATATTTTTAAAACAAGCTTGGAACCCTCACAGGAAATCTGCAATATATTTGACTCTAATATAAACGTGCAACATTTTAATTCTTTCTTTTTTGTACTCTGTTAGTTTCCATCTTTTATCCATAGTCAAAAGAGGAATCCACAGACACATCTGAAAGATGCAGACATGGTATGGGACTTTTGGAGTCTTCGCCCTGAGTCTTTGCACCAGGTAAGATTTTATCCCCTTTTAATTACTTGTAGTCTGTTTCTTTTAGGCCCTGTGTCCTTCATCTTTAGTTCAGAGGAAATGGCAGAGATCAAAGATAACAAATTAAATACTTGATTATTGTTATTCTGCTACATTAAATTGCATATCACATTATAGAAAAAGTTATCAGGAAAGAAGAAAATTGGGTTTAGTTTCCATGGCATCTTTATATTTTTTAGATAAAAGCCAAAATAGTCAAAGCTGCTCTCAACCCTTTTTTGTTCTAATACCACTCTCGCAAACATGAAGGAAAGGGAAGAAAACTCGGGTAATGCCTAGAATTGCTTGAAATTCATTTGTTTGTCTTTGCCAGTAAAATATAGAGCTAGAAATGTGTCTACAGTATTTGTAGAAGCCATAAATTAAATGTGTAGAACACATATTTTTATTTTTTTATTGATACTTTGTATTTACAAAAATGACTGAAAAGAAATGTATTAATACAATGATTATTTTTTAGGAATATTGGAAAAAATATATATTTAATTGTCATTTATTAAAATAATAAGAATTGTATTAACTCAATGTTTGCAAAAAACAATGTTTCGGGGAAAGAGGAAATCAACCAAAATTAATATATGGAATACAGACTACAGAAATCAATTGTTAAGGAGTGTTTTTACAAATGTAACCCAGACAACACACTGTTTACCAATTATTGAGTGACTTATGCTTGTGTAAAAAATTAATAAAAAATATAATACAAAAAAAATGTCATAACATACAAAAGAGCAGTTAAAAGGATTTTTTAAAGATCTTGCTAGCCCAGTTTAAGAAATATTTTGAAAAAGCCATTCAAAAAATTAGATTTCTTTCAAAGTTTGCTCAAATGTAAAAGAAACTGAAAAATTTCCCCATGGAAAGGTGTGCAAAATCTGTGTTACCATTGTGTGGCTATGATTATATTGAAAGAATGTTTAATTATGACAATTTATCACTGCTCAGCAACATACTTAAAATACTGAACTTCACAAAGCCAATTCCAATTCATTTATTTCTGGGCTGGAAAATAAACTTGGGAAGATATTAGTAATATTTTTCTTTGATTAATTCCTAGATTTAAAGTTTAATTATTTGTTGCACACAATTCAGAGACATTCTAAGAAACTGGGCTTCGGTTGTAGATGTATTACTTATTTATTGTGTTGCTCTTTTTCCCAACAATTTACTAAACGAACACTATAAATACAAAGGCAATAGATTTTTTTTCAAATAAATTCATCACCATAAAACCAGCTGTGTTTAAGATAGTAATTAAAGAAATTAAAACAATGGTTTATTCTAAGAAGTAGAGTAACTGACTATTAAAAATACTGTTGATCTTGTTCTTGAATGGTTATTATTTTATAAATACCTTCACTGAAGAGGTGTAGAATTAATTTCTATAAAAATTTGCCATAGAATGCTCAAGACACACACACACAACTGTGTGTGTGTGTGTGTGTGTGTGTGTATATATGATTCATAAATGCATATGATAGATAGATAGATAGATAGATAGATAGATAGTGTGTGTGTGTGTGAGAGAGAGAGAGAGAGAGAGGGAAGGGAGGGAGGGTGGGAGAGAGAGAGGTATGTCAATTGAAGATGTACCTTAGAATGTCTTAGAATGTCTCTGAATTGTCTGTAACAAATAATTAAACTTAAATTTTAGGAATTAATCAAAGACAAATATTACTAGAAATAAATGAATTGGAATTACACACACACACACACACACTCCCCCACACTGCCTTCTCTATGTAACTTTTATTTAACAGAATACATGATTTGCTTTGTGAATGTGCTGAAAGGAAGCAAGGCATTCTCTACAAGGAGCATTTATTATTCTTGTTTTTTGAATGAATGTCATGAAACTGCAATATGACATTCTAGATATTGGGTAGGGTTCAATGGGAATATGCATGAAGTATAAAATACAGTTGGAATACACCTTTCTGTAGAAAGAGGCAGGAATCCGGCCTCTTGTGTTCTCATTAAAGATGACTATGTACTTTGTTTCGGCTCATGTAGGTATCATTCCTGTTCAGCGATCGTGGCATTCCAGATGGGCACCGTCACATGAATGGCTATGGGTCACATACATTTAAGCTAGTCAATGCTTATGGCAATGAAATATACTGCAAATTCCATGTAAAGGTAATTATGGTCTATTGTTACCATTTCCTGCTCAATGTTGAACCATCAAAAGTCTGTCCCTGAATGCTCCTTATGATTCCATGTATCTTTTTTTCTTTCAATCTGTACCGGCCATGCTTTTAATTGCTAGGCAAACCCACTTGCATTCATACCTGTTCCTATTTCTAAGTAATAATAATATTTTTAGCAACAAGCTTATGTCTCCTTTTGTATATGGAAATTGTACTCCTTCCACCTATAATATTGTCTTTTCTATATGTAATTTAACGATATGTCTTTGGACCTAGATTTGTTTCCTGTATAGCAGTTTTATAAACATTCTCTTTTAGTAGATTTTTAAACTGTTTTACTGCAGATTACTGTTACTAGGTTAGGGTTAAGGATAAGATTAACTATTTCTACATTAATAATTATAGATAAAAGTTACTAATTAACATTCTGATTGCTTTTCAATATTTTTAGACTGACCAAGGAATTAAAAACCTCCCTGTCAAAGATGCAGAAAGATTAGCTTCTGAAGATCCGGATTATGGCCTGCGTGATCTTTACAATGCAATTGCTAATGGAAACTTCCCCTCTTGGACTTTCTATATTCAAGTTATGACATTTGAACAAGCTGAGAAATTTCCATTTAATCCTTTTGATCTAACGAAGGTGAGTATATTTTGGTGACCTTTTCTCCAGCATACAGTGTAGAATAGAAAAGGTACATTTCTATATCTTGCAAGTCCAGCTGAATGTAGTAAAATATCCCAGTTATATTTTTCAGATTTGGCCTCACAAAGATTATCCTCTCATTCCTGTGGGAAAAGTTGTCTTAAACCGAAATCCTGTCAATTATTTTGCTGAAGTGGAACAAATGGCTTTTGACCCAAGCAACATGCCCCCAGGGATTGAACCTAGCCCCGATAAAATGTTACAGGTAACCAGAACTGATTTTCTTCCCTCCTATTCATTTAACTAGGAAACTCAGTCTTTAAATAAGATCACTTTTACAAAAATGAAAACATGTTAACATCAATCTGTTTGGTATTAGAATTTTTTTCCTTGTCCTGTGCTTTTCATTGTGTGGTGTGTTGGGGTTTTTTGTTCCCACCTCTGAATAGTAAAACAATTGGTAAAAAGAACAACATTCATTATTTGCATCTTAAGCGCTAGCAGAGGTTGACACAAGGAACAGGATAAGACTCCCATTCTAGATATATTTAATTAATGAAAAGTGTAGATAGCCCTAGCAATAGCACTTGGACTTATATACCGCTCCATAGTGCTTTACAGCACTCTCTGAGCAATTACAGAATCAACATACTGCCCCCAACAATCTGGGTCCTCATTTTACCAACTTTGGAAGGATGGAAGGCTTGAGCCAGTCAGGATTGAACTCCAGGCTGTCGGCAGAATTAGCTTGCAGTACTGCATTCTAACCACTGTACCACCAGGGCTCATAGATGTTTTTGGGGTTGATTACATCATTTCATTACACACACACACACACACACACACACACACACACGATTAATATATGAAACCATTGAAAACATTCTGTGAAAGCTAGAGTTAAGTGAGTAGAAGTGACTCTTTCACTGCTTCAGTCACAGGGCCTGTCAGCTTATAAAGTACTTAAAAAAGAAAGAGTTGGAGGAGCACTGATGATGGCATCAAAAACATCCTTGTAATTGTGTTGCCTCTTTCTGCTATATTGAAGAGATGCCTTTGATCTGATTATACAGGTTTGCTTCTGAGCCATGTTCTTGAGTCCTTTGAAATCAAGACTTTTTTCCCCTCATGTAGGATAGGACAAGCAATAGTCTCTCAAAAAAGCAGTGATGACATAGGCAGGACAGAAAGCATTGAAAAGCAGTCTGAATAAAACCTAAGAAAAGGTTGTCTGCTTCCTCACTTTTACTCCTGTATATATTTTTCTAGGGTCGTCTTTTCTCGTATCCAGATACGCACAGACACCGCCTGGGACCCAACTACCTTCAAATTCCTGTAAATTGTCCATACCGAGCTAGAGTGGCTAACTACCAGAGAGATGGATTTATGTGCATATCTGATAACCAGGGTAAATCTGAATAACATTTGGGAGCTAGGGTGTGGCAGCAATTTAAACTAACCTTCGCAGGTGCTTTTTCTTCATTTACATTGACACTACAACTTAACTATTTCATTTTTATTTTATATTAATTGCTCCCTTATTTTTATTATATGGATATGTAAAAATGTTTCGATTTGGATTTTGTGTATTCAATATGGATGTATTCAATATGCCCAGCAGCCAAGCTCACACAGTAATGTCACCTTCAAGCCTTTTTTCTTAACATTATCAAGATAATAACAGGCCCTTGATAGTTTTTGTTTGTTTTGGGAATTGGAACCAGCTAAGAATAGACTTAGTATGAAGGAATGCAGGCATTGTAAAAATGCCATTAGCTTGCTAAAACAATTTTTTGGCTATAAGACGTAGTGATACATTTTTGGAGTTGATACTCTTGCATTCTTTGCAGCTTCTCCCTTGATCCTAATGTATTGTATTTCCCCCCCCCCCCAGGTGGTGCCCCAAACTATTACCCAAATAGCTTTACTGGCCCTGAGGAACAGCCCGCTTTGAAGGAGAGCCGTACAACTTCCTCGGGCGATATACAGCGCTTTAATAGTTCAGTTGAGGATAACGTCTCTCAAGTAAATAAATTGGAAATGCCCTGTTATTTTATTTTGGAAATGAAAATGTCTCTGTAAGCACACTTTTTCTTTTTCTCTCTCTTTCTAAACAAGGTAAACTTATCATCAACATTCTCTTTGTATGTCTTCCAAACACCTAATTTAAAACAAAAAGTTGAGAGCACTTGCTTGACATAATTCTATTCTCAAGTAATTAAGTTTTGGTTTCCTGTTGGCTCTCAACTTTTGTTACTTGATTTTCTCCACAAGTGGATCCATGTATAAAAGTGAGATTATTCAGAATCTTGGAGTCAGACCACTATTTTCCTGGTTTGGCCAAATTTACTATAAAGTGCTAATTCTTTATATTGCAGATCTTTCAAAAATATTCCCCACTTTTATAAAAAAATATATTTAGAGGTAGTCTTTGACTTATGAACACAATTGGGACTGGATTTATCATTGTAAATCGAGGTACTCTCATCAGTGGACCCGATTTTACAACATTTTTTGTGGCAGTCATTAAGCAAATCACTGTGGTCATTAAATGAATCTACAGCTGTTAAGTGAACTCGTTTTTTTCAAATGGGTTTTTCACCAAAAACCAGCACACAATATCACAAATCACAATCGCATGACACTGAGATGCAAGAACAATCCCACAAAGAAGGCAGAACTTTTCGTATTCTAAACAGCAGAGAGAACTCCATGATAATCATAAATAGCCATTAGTTTATTGCAATTTATTTAATAGCTGAGTTGATACTGTTAATGAAATTGGAATCATAGAAAATTTTTATTGGGCAGCAGAAGGTATATCTGTAATGTTGGCTTTCACTATTTATTGAAAGGTACGGGACTTTTTTGTCAAAGTATTGAATGAGGAAGAGCGCATGAGACTTTGCGAGAATATTGCTGGCCATCTTAAGGACGCTCAGATTTTCATCCAGAAGAAAGCTGTAAGTAATAACATGATACATCTCAAGCTGTACAGAGATTCTGGTTTGAAGAGCAACATTGGCTTTGGAGCATGCAGAGATACATATATATCATCTTTTATAAAGCAGCTGTGTCTTTTCTTGGTCTCACACATCTTCTGGCATACAATTCTATATAAAGACTTTTGGTTTCAAGGTGTTTGTGCAGACCCACATGCCCTCCAAATCATATGCTGCCTTTTGAATCTGAATTGTTCTACAACCCTACCATATAAGTTAGTATACAATGTAGACTTTAAGCTCTATTTGCTGTGATAATATTAGTTGATAAAAACTGTATAATTACCCTCAGTTGTATGATGTATAGTATGAGAATATATATCTGGTTAAAGCCACATAAATTAAGAATGGAAAATCTCAGGCTCTTTCATATAATTTTATCATCACATTGTAAAGAAGTACAGTGCTTCTTTACAATGTGATGAATAAGATTATATGAAAAATATCAGTTATACAGTAGAATACCTAGCACAAGACCTCCGTCATGTGATTTGGTTAGTGCTGTGCTCCATCTTGCCACAAAAGAGAAACCTGGAACAGATCTAGATAGTTCAGGCTAATTGTAGTTTAAAGTGGGAGTAATGGCCCTCGCCCTGGAGAACATCGTTCCTGCAAAGTAAGATTGGTCCCAACCCTACTGGACTTCTCAGGAATCCTTAAAACATGCTTTTGTCAACTGGCCTGAGCATCCCATGATAGAATGGGAGCCTTCAAGATGATTATATGAGGTTTAAATGGAATGCATTCTCTTGCCTGCTTTTTTACCATTTTGTTTTTTATCTTGTGGTTGCATTGCAGTTGTGTTTTTTTATATACATTTGTACTATTTTATTATGTCATCCTCCCAGAGTCCCTATGCAAGATGGACAACTAGACAAATATGATTGATAAATGAATGAATAATGAATATTCTAATTGTTGGATCAAAAACATATACAAAATTGTATCTCCAATATGTAAAAACTCTGCATTGAATCCATAGCTTGGTTCTCGGTTGCAGTGGCCTTCCGAAAAGGCCTGTGACTGAGAAATGCAGGCCTGGCTTAAGAAGACACCACAAAAGAAGAGGGCCGGCAAGGAGGCCTGGGTGCAGGATGCGTGGGGTAGCTCCCACACCCTCACCCCAAAATTAGGACTTATTTTGGGGTTAGGGCTTATATTAGGCCCACCCTCAAAAATTGAGCTAGGGCTTATTTTTTGGGGTAGGCCTTACTTTCGGGAAACACGGTATGTGATAAATTGAAAAATAGTACTTCTGCTATTACCAATAGTTGAAATAACTACAGTCCAGATGTGCTGAAATTTTAGATCTCTGCCAAAAGCAATTGATTTGTCCTAATCAGAACAGGTATTAGAAAAAGTGACAAATGATCTCAATTTCTTTTGTCAATCTAGGTGAAAAACTTTATGGATGTTCATCCTGATTATGGTGCAGGCATTCAAGCCCATCTGGATAGACACAATGCTAAAGGGCAAAAAAAGGTAAGAAAACATTATCAATTCAGATTACTGTTAAAAGTAGAGATTAAGCAGCTGAAAATGCATTAAAACATAGATGGCATAAATGGCTGTAGAGAGGCTCAAAGGAACAGTGAGAGGATCTTGAACAACAAATTTGAAAACAAACAGCAAACATTACTACAAGTAGTCTTCTCCTTATGACCACAGCTGAGCTTAGAATTTCAGTCAACAATCATTGTGGTCGTATGTTGAGTCACCATGTGACAGGATTTGATTTTATGACTTTTTATGATGGTTATTAAGTGAATCATGGGTTGTTTAAAGAATCACAAAGTTATAAGTCCAAATCCAGCTTATCCAATGGGCATTTTTTGTCAGTTTTTAATCAGAAAATGGCAAAAAAACCCAAATGTAAAACATATTCACATGAGCGTGTGACACCCTGTAGTGAATCTGGTTGCCAAGCCCCAAAATGCGATCTCAGGACCATAGGTATGGTGTAGTAGTTGTAACTTCAGGAAAGTGTTATAAGTAACTTTTTACTTTACTCCATTGTGACTTTGAATGTTTGTTAAGCAATCAGTCAGAAGTTGAGGACTATCTATACAATATCTGGATTCTAAATTGAACTAAGTAGGTTAAACAAAGTTCTATTCCAGTGGAATTAAAAGTAGCTGTCAGAATCTCTATGGCTGTATGATAGTACAAGTAGTTAGCAAAGAAAGTATAAATGAGAAATAAAGAAAGGAATCTGTTAGTATTTCATTATTCATTTCTCAAAAATGTAGTTAAAGAAGCATGAGTACAACTAAAAATAGTTATGAATTTTATATGAAAACCAGTTTTTTTTCTATTTTTAATTACATTGTTTCTAGGATCAAATTCATACTTATACACAAACTTCTGGAAAGGAGAAATCTCAGCTGTAAATGGCATGTGATTACCAGTCACATTGGAAATCTTCACCTGAAATCCCTCCAACTGGAAAATGAGCTTTGAAAAGCTTTATGTATAATGGAATTATACATGCTATTATCCTGTGCTATTAACTGCAATATATAACCAAGTGCAATTCTATTTTAACAACAATTTGAATTAATTATATAGATTATTAATTTGGAATCTATCCTGATGATATGTTTGAAATATGTCTGAAATACAAGAAGAATAACTTTGTGCTTAATTTTGCTTATTAACATGTTTTATTCTTGTGATTGATTTTTTTCATTTATTTACCCATAGAACAGACATTGCTGTGATTGATATCTTTTATTGGTAGTGCTGGTCTTAATAGTATGACAAATCCTTTTCAAATGGATATTAAAAATATAAAAAAAACAATTTTTAAAACTGCACATGAATGTCAATCTTTTAACAACAAATCTCCTCATAGTACATTTTAAAACTATTATAAAGTACTTGAGGGAGAATTATGTTTAAATGTGAAATTTACCAGTGTTATGAAAGCTTTATAAATAATAGTATTATGTTCCAAGCTGTTAGTTGCAATAAAAAAGCATTCCAATTTGAAGATCCTTTAAGAAAAACAATATAGATGATTTATGCTGAATCTGTGATGATGATAATAAACATGAAATGGCATGTCTGAAGTAGTATAACAATTTTGTGCTTATTTTGTCTATCAAAACATGATTTGTATTCTTATAACAAATCTCACATTTATTCTTTTAAAGAATATACATGTCTTTTTCCTTTTATTGGTAATCCTGACAGTACTATAAGAAGTAAATAAAACATTACTAAATAGATATTAACAATAAAAGCAACTTTAAATAAATATACATTATATATGAATGTTTTTAACAGAAAATCTGCGTTCATATGGTACCCTTAAGAATTGTTAAAATAACTTGGTGGATTATGTTAAAGGGATATTTTATTTGTTCTTGGACTAAATGTTTCTTTTGTTGGTTCAGGATGGATCTCAACAGCAGACTTTTGAAACAAAAATAAATGGAACCTTTTTACAATGCTCATTCTATAATAAAATTCTCATAAAATATCTAATGCCTCGATTCTGTTTTAATATTCAGTATAGTCTACTAATCATATGCAGTATTTGCTTTTCTATTACAGTACAGAATGGATGAGGCAAAGCCTTCATTCTTGTCTCAATGCATCACCTTTTGAGAACCACAGGTGTATGTATATGAGAGAGACAGACAGATGGCAGGCTGCAGTACATACATGATGATAAAAAGTAAACGGAGCTCTGTCACAAATGAACAGGTTTAGAATTTTCTATTTCTGATAATTCACTTTTGGATACCCATACTATAATTCCCTTCCCCACTCCCCAGTTTTAAAAGGGCAATACTGAATTTAGGCAATTGTATAATTAAAACTGCAGTATATTCTGAATCACGGGATTCAGATCCAACATACAGGATGACATCCTGCGGTTACAGCCTGCCCAATCTACGATAAGGGTGAGGGGAGAGAGAGATGTTAGAAGTTAACTCCTTTTTAAAAGGAGACAAAGATTGGAAGAAGTCACTGAATCCAATTTCTTCTTAATTCAGGAATGCAAAGTGAAACATCCTGACAAATGTGTCCCCACATCAGCTGTTAAGCATCTCTGTCACAGTGTACTAATTTCTTAGGAAACATTCTTGTGCATCTTGTCCAGCAGATGGCATTTAATTCACAGAAAAGTCGACAAAAGTCCATTAAAGATTACCCAAAATTTCATATCTGCTTTAATCTTGCTGAAATAAATCAATTCTATATATATTCTTTCCCTATGTTTTATTTTTAATGTTTTTACTTTTAATAATCTTGGTTTTTAATTCCATCAAATAATGTCATAGAAATTTCATTTTCTTTTTGTCCGTTCTCAGAATCCTTCAAGACTTTAACAGATCTCTTTTGTAGAACCAATAAGATACAGTTATCAAATAATTCTGCTGGTTTGATAATTGCTTGTCCCCTTTAAATGTTAAGACATCACCTGGTTTCATTTGTACATCTAATATATCATCTTGTTTCATATTTTTCTTGTAACTTGTCATATTTAAACCAGCGTTTCAATTTTATCAGTATAGTTTTTTTCTTCTGTGACATCATTAACTCATCATTTATCTATAGTATCAGATATTCTTTAAATTTTCTCAATCCATTGTTCAAAACTCCTTCAAACCACCCACTGTTATTTGCTCCATTTTTGTTATGTATACTTTTCTTTTAATTGTAATATTTATTTATGTCTCATTCCCCCTAGTGTCCAACCTTCAAGGTCCCATGCTATCATCATTTTCCCGCCCCAAGAACTCAAACACAGGAAAGATGCTTAAAATTCATTTAAAATTTTTATTCCAAATCCCTCTGGATCCTTAATCTGTTTTTAACTTTCCAATATTAATAAAACTTCTGATCTGTCATATAATGAAGGCTTCAGATGTAGTGTTATCTCAAAGGTACCTTGCCAATATTACATCTCATTTTCAGTTTATAAATATATTTCAGATTATAAATACTGACCTTTTATGTTTATTCTTTTTTAATTCCTCATCTCCAGGTTGAGGTGTTGGACTGATTTCAATGGGAATGCAAACATCTCCTGAACCTGTCTTACTGAGATATCGTTTATTATGATTATGATTTTTATTATGATTATGTTTTTATTTTGAAAGCTGAGTGTAGAGCTCTGGATAAATGATGATTATTCCCAAAATGTATACATATTTATTGGAAATGGAAAGATGATCAATAGGTTAAAGCTTGTATGATGAAGAAGGCAAAAATAGATATAAGTTGGAACCATGGGAAAATATGTAGAAGAAAACACTGAAATTTACACTGAAATATAAGCTGAAAGAAAACTTTTATAAAATTATGTATCATTGATATATGACACTACTTAAATTGTCAAAACAGTATAAGGTGATTTCAAATAATTGAAATGTAATCAAACTGACAGAACACTTTTTCATTATTGGTGGACGTGTAACAAAGCTAGAAAATATTGGGATGAATATATATTTTGGTATGTCAATAAATATTCTCAGTCATCCAGGCAGAATTGTCTGAAAATTGAATTATTGCAACTGGACTTACTTTGTTAATTTGAGTTGTTTCACTGCTCATTGAAGTAGCTTTTTCAGTCTGAGCAAGTTGGTTAGGCAGAGTCTCATGTATTTTGATGCAGAATTTAAAAATGAATGTACAACTGGAATCAGAAATGTTTGTTTTAGGATTAATAGGCAAACACATGGATTCATCTTATGGAATTACTTTTTTATATTTAATAATAGCAGTAAGATTTTCATATGCTCCAAGATGGAAAAACTTACAAATATCTGCAATAAAAGAATGGATGGCAAAGCTGGTAAAATTGGCAAAGGTGGCAAATGATGAAAGTCTTGATGAAAGACTTTGACAAATTTTATTTCCACTTTCAAATCATTTCTAGACTTTTTGTGAAAAACTGAAATAGATGAGAAGTTGATATGAAAAAGATCATGGTGATGTAGTTCAGAGATTGGCAGTATTGTCCTGATAAATATCAATACAATTGTGTATATTTCTTTAAACGCTCCATATGACTTTATTTAGATGCTTTTAATTAAAATAAATGAATTCTTACACCAACTGTGACAATCATTTTATAAGAGCACACACAAGGTGCTATCAAAATTTCGAATGTGTTGCTTGGCATATTGGGTTGCCTATCCCTGGTTTATTCTGAATAGATTTTAGAAATCAATGAGTTCATATGCTTATGCACTTGAATAACAGAATAACAGAGTTGGAAGGGACCTTGGAGGCCTTCTACTCCAAACCCCTGCTCAAGCAGGAAATCCTGTGCCATTTCAGATAAATGGCTGTCCAATCTCTTTTTAAAAACCTCCAACGTTGGAGCATTCACAACTTCTGGAGGCAGGTCATTTCACAGTTCCCACTGTCAGGATATTTCTCCTTAATTCTAGGTCAGTAATGGCGAACCTTTTAGAGACCGAGTGCCCAAACTGCAACCCAAAACCCACTTATGTATCATCAGGTGCTGGGTGGGCGTGGCCTATTGGGTGGGCATGGATGTGGTGATAATGGCAGACTGGGTGGGGCTAAAAAGTTCAATAAATCAATTCCAACTTTGTGAGATCTTTTCTTTTCCATGAGAAGTTGAAATTGATTGATTGATTGAACTTTTTTTTTTTTTGCACATGGAAGTGGAGGCCTAGAGCAAAACAAGTTTTATAAAGCCCAGGTAAAGGCCTAGGACTGGGGCGACGGTGCGCGTGCCATAGGTTCGCCAGCACGGTTCTAGGTTGTTTCTCTCCTTGATTAGTTTCCATCCATTGCTTCTTGTCCTGACTTCAGGTGCTTAGGAGATTAGATTGAGCCTCTCTTCTTTGTGGCAGCCCCTTAGCTATTGGAACACTGCTATCATGTCATTCTTAGTTCTTCTCTTCATTAAATTTCAGCAACCGTTCCTTATATGTTTTAGGCTCCAGTCCCCTGATCATCTTTGTTGCTCTTCTCTGTCTAAAGTCTCAACATTTTTTTTATATATTGTGGTGACCAAAACTAGATGCAATATTCCAATTGTGCCCTTACTAAGGCATTATAAAGTATTAACACTTCACATGATCTTGATTCTATCTCTCTGTTAATGTAGCCTAAGACTGTGTTAGCTTGTTTAGATATTGCTGAAGGAAAATAGTTATATTTTATATTACTCATGTTTCCTTTGTTTGCAGTTTATCTTACAATACATCTACTTCTTCTAAGTACTTCTAAGTACCTTTCTTACACTTATAAACATCTCGTGTGTTTCTTCTGTAGGCATACACAGTATTTTGTAATCTGTCACATGTATACAAACCCAAATGACTGAAAAATCTTGAAGATGCTGAGTAAACAGATGAAATACTTTAATTTACTTTTCTTCTGTTACTCATCAAATTCTGCCTAGAGAAGAAGTCTTTTTTTCTTTGTATGGGATTATTATAGGGTGGGAAGTTTATTATCAAAGGAAAAACCCAAACCTTGTTAAATTTAGGAGCAGGTACAATTTTAATCCAGTAAATTATGTAGATTGGGAATGTAAATGAGAAACATAGTATCGCCTTTCCTAAGTAGAAATTTGAATAAGTCTCTCATCCTATGTTGGGATGGACATTCAGTATGAAGTAACTGTTCCACTTTGTGACTGGGAGATCATTTAAAGGAAGCCCTTGCCTGGCGTGGGCCCATTCATTCGATGGCACTGACGGGGGTGGCTTCTGCTGCTGCTCTGATCGGTCAACCATACATGGAAGCAGGAGGAGGTGAAGGGGCAGCTGGGGGTCTGGAGCCACTTCGGCTGCTCGCTGGCAGCCCGACGCAATGAATTCACACACCAGCTGCCCCTCCTGCTTCCCTGCATGGTTGACCGGTCAGAGCAGCAGCAGAAGCCACCCCCATCAGAGCCGTCAAATGGATGGCCCCAGGCTGGGCAAGGGCTTCCTTGAGCCGTTTCTGCCCTCACCGATCGGGCTCTGTGGCTAGTCCGCCATGATGCAAGACAGCCAGCAGGCTGTGGCTGCTGATGGACACCATTGGCCTCCATGCGCTTACTGGGCTCTGTGTGCAGGGGCCGATGGTGTCAGGTAGCAGATCTGGAAGCGAAGCTGTACCAACCACCCTTGCACTGGTGGAGGTGGTGATGGGGGAAGGCAGGATCTGGCATATGCCCACTCTTTGCTGCTGCTGCCCCATATTGTCCCGGGTGAGCCTCCGGGCCATGCATGTGGGACGATGTGAGGTGGCAGCGGGGAGGGGTGTGTGTGTGCCACAGTTCACCTTCCCCCACCGCTGCCCCCACCAGCGCAAGGATGGTCGGCACAACTTCACTTCCAGATCTGTGGCCAACTGGACTTGGCGATGTAGGGATCATTGCCGCTGCCTCCTGCTTCCCTGTGTGGTTGGCCCGTCAAGGGGCTTGGAGCAACAGGAAGAGCAACAGCTGCCGCCCCTGTTAGAGCCACCGTGTAGACAGGGCCTGCATCAGGTAAGGGCTCC